TGTTGTTGTTGTTGTTGTTGTTGTTGTTGTTGTTGTTGTTGTTGTTGACTGTTATATGTTGTTGCTGTTTCTTCTTGCGTAGCACAAGCACAAGCAAGCTTAGAATTCTATAGCTCGGCTGAAGTGGTTAATGACTCTATATTTCGATATGTATTGATCATAAAGGAGGTTTGAGGTTGTTTGTGCACTTTTCATTCTAACGACTCTTAGGCAATTCCCAGTGTGTAACCTCCGCAGCCTTTTCACTTGCTGCATCTAAAGCCTCTCAGATCTCTCAGCCACCTTGGACGATTCTTCCAGCCCTCTCGATGGCTGCCTCTGCAACTGTTGCCAATGGTCTTTTCAAAGCCGCCAACGCATGGCAAGTGCCTTGGATTCGCAGGTTTCCTGTTCGTTTTTTTATGTTTTTTTTCTTTGGTGGATGGGAAGAACACAGAAGAATCTGATAGGGTTGCCACTTTGCCCATGAGCCCAGACAAACCCACAAGGCTTTGGGGAGGGAAGAACGTGGGCACTGTATAATAGATAGATCATTGTTTGAGGGTGATCTTTCTGTCAGGTGTCGATGGACTTGGCATGGCCACGCACGGAGGGTGCGCCTGACGAACTGGTGCACAACTCATTGCCAAATGTGGACCATGTTGACATGTTTATCAGCCACTCTTGGGATTGCCCTTCATGGATGAAATGCCTGGCGTTGTGTCAGTTTCTGAATTTTGACATGGCAGCCAATTCAGCATTCTTGGTTTGGCTGTCCACTGCTTTGATTTTGCTCATTCATGCTGGTGGTGTGGCCGAATTGGCAGCTTCAATGGCGGGAACCAACTTTTTGACGTATGCTTTGGTGTACTTCCCCATGGCCGTCTTTTGCGTGGTGTATTTCTTTGGTCACAAGCTTTGTCGGAAGACATTCTGGTTTGATCGCATATGTGTGAATCAGGCAGACTTGGATTTAAAGGCTAAAGCGCTTGACGCTTTGCCGTACTTTGTGGCGAACTCAAATGAGATGCTTATTTTGCTTGACGAACATTATTTGGAACCTCGCCTCGCTGCCTTTAAGTTTTTGTGTGTTTGTTTGTTCCCCACCTGCCAGGTGAGGGTTGCTAGAATTTATCAGTACTGTCCCTCTCTGAGATGCCTCCTCATCCTCCGCCTCCTTCTTCGCCTCCTGATCCTGGTCAACCGCAAGGGCTAGATCACAGTGGGCACCGCCAGACCTCAACCGCCAGATAGAATGTCAGAATACATTCCAGATAGAATGCCAGCATAAACACTACCAAATAGAATGCCAAAATGCTTGCCAGACACCGCCAGACACCAGATAGAATGACAGAATTTTTGCTAGGTAGAATTGAGAATATATGCCAAATACATGCAAAACGGAATGTGTGCCAGATAGAAGTATTATGACCCATAGAATGCCAGATAGACTGCCAACATATATGCAGGATAGACACATTCTTCGATAGAAGGACCAATGGCGGAACACATGTCACAGCACATGTCAGACTTCTTGGCAGGAAAACTGCTAGAACACATGCCAACAAGGATGCCCAGAACATTTCCCAGCCTTTATGATAGACGATGTGATAGACGCGCCAGCGCCAGCAAGCCAGACTTGATGCCAGAACAAGCACCAAAACATTTGCATGTCCGCACTCGTCAGGCTTAACCCGTCAACGCCATGTGCCCCGCATTCTTCCAAGTCGCTTCAGGGTGGGGATAGCTCCAATTGGTTTCATGTCTTTCTCCTCGGACTGTCAATTCGTGACGTGGAAGATAAAGCAAAACCGAACATCTGAACATGGGTTGATCCTGGACGTCTGGATTGCATGCCAGGAGCGCTTGTGGTGCAACTACGAAATTGCCATTTTTTCCCGACGTTCACCAGGGCCAAAGTCTATGCACTTCATGCCTTTGTGGTTGCCCATTTGGATATTGTCAACTGTTGCAGTTGATTTTCTGGGCGTTTTGGCACTTACAGTGTGTATGCCAACAGGCTCTGCAGCTGTAGATCCTCCAAAATCTGAGACGGATTCTCGAATGGGGTTCTTCCTGCTAACCCTTGAAGCTTGGACTGCGCCAGGCATTCTATATGCCTTTTCCGTGATTTGCAGCTTTGTAGTTCACTATCGGCGACTGCAATTTCACAACACTTTGTTGGATCGTATGGCTAGCTTCGACTTTCACAACGCCAAGTGCAAGTTGGAAAGTGACAGGCAGGGCAGCGTGCGAAATGTCATGGCCACAGGACACTTCGGAAGGTAAGTTAGAACTGACTAACAAGATTATCAAGATTGCGTTTGAAGATATTTGACTTGTGTTCCTGACTTTGTTTGGTTCCTCCAATTGGACTCTTGACAAACTCCAAATTCATCCAAATTCATGCTTTATAGACAGGAGGCATGAGACATAGGCATCAGTTCGATAATTACAGTTTCCGGTTAGTTTGAGGACCGCCATTTTGGTTCTTATTTGACGTAGATGTCTCTTAACAAAAGACCGAGCGATCGATGGTTAGCCCTTCAACCTCAGGGCTTTGATCGAGTCACAAATTGTTGAACTCTTCGATGAAGCATTTGAGCCGCCGGTGCGGATGGCCATCGATGTTGTGGACGACGAGGGCCCGACGGAGGCAGACATACCACTCATCTCGCAGGAGCCGGTTTTGACGAGGTGTGTTGACACAGGGCGTTTTGAGGGGTTCCGGTCGACACCGTCGACACAGTCGACACACGAAAGAACATTATACTCTCTGACGAACACATCGGATGGAAGTTTTTTCTTGGCCTTTTGGAACACCATGTTCTTTTGCAAACAGGGGTTTTGCACTTCGATGTTGGTGAGTCGGAGTGCAGATAAAGAGGGGGAAAGGCAGAGATTTGATGATCCCTGTGCGGGTTTGGAAACATGGCATGCCGCGTTTGGCAGGAAGTCATGCGTGCCATTCGACCGATTACGAGCTATCCCAGTGAAGAGGAGGTTTTGCAACAATTCAACGCATATGTGCGAGGTCCAATGCGCGAAAAACTTCTTAATGCGATTGGAAGTGAGGTTGATATCCCCTGGAAGCTTTGTGTGGTTTCATTCCTGCCTTTGACTTTTGATGCGCTGGCAGTTACCCTGGGATGCGAGGGACAGCCTTGCTCCCTGTCTGCCAAGCATGAGGGGTATGCTTCAAGCGTGCCATATGTCATCAGCAACTTCTTGGGGTTTGCCATCGAGTGCTTTCTTGGATATCCCAGCATTCATCCCATTATGTTGCGCGCGCTTCAAGCTGTGAAATCCAACGTGGAGCACCTACCTCTACGTGTGGTTTTGGGAGCGCTCAGTGCAATGGCAGTATACGTTTATGTGTTCAGCAGTGCGGCTGCTGTCATTGGCTTTCTGATGGTGAGTATCACAAGATTCTCACCAGTGTGGCTGGCTGCTGGAATTTTAAGTTTCACGTTTCTAACGATCCAAACGTGCATGTTGTTTCTCAAGTGGAAACTTCTTCCACCCAGTTGCAGAAGGCTGAGCTAGATTCAGCAGGAGCAGTGAAAACCGGCGATCATACAGAGATTGTGCGCACCAATGTGCACCATTGTCGGACTGTGACTCAGGGGCAGGATGACATGCAGTTCCGACTCCCATTTGGCAAATTGTTTCCTTTTGCGTCCGCATGTCTAGCACCGATGAATTGACCATGTGATGCTCCCATGAGTTTCAACCCATGTTCCGATTCACAACATACCTTTTGCATCCTTTTGCGAACCGAAACGATGTCACCCCGGGAACACAATTCTGATCGCCAAATTACAGATCTGGGCACTGGTTTCAGCTCTCCCTTTCTCTCCACCGGGCGTTTGGGGTGGTTAATGGATATACCCCGAATCACCTCTAAGGAGCTATAATAGGAGCCAACTTTGGCCCGTGTCGGGCCCCTCCTGGCAGGTGTACATCTATGGGCCACTCAACTACAATCCTGTGGAGCGCTACTTCTTTGACCGCGTGACGCGGGGGCGACCCGTGTGCGTGCCCTATGGTGGGAAGTACATCACACAATTGGGATGCCGGGATCGCAGCGGAGAGGGTGAAATGGAGACTGAGGCTACTAGACAGATCTAGACAGATGATATGATTATATAAGATTGATTAAGCATCTATACAATTGCATAGCATATATATATAGTTTAATTATACTATGATATGTGTAAAATGTTGTAGATATATACATTTATGCCAGAATATGCCAGGAATGGTTTTAACATCTCCATGCAAGGAGTTTTTGTTGATGAATCGAGAGTCTACTGTGCATGAAGACGTCCCAACTTTGGGCACTTGATAGGTGCATGATTCGCTCCAATTGAGTGTTTAATAGTGGAGGGAAACCATCGAACCGAACCGAATTCCTTGAGCTCGCTTTTCACTGTTCTTTACCTTCTCCAAAGCCTTCTGACCTTGTGCATCAGCGCCTTTTCTTCTTGTATCATCAGGCCTTGTGACCTTTTCCTTGTGACCTCTTCTGACTCTCAGCCCTTTCCTTTTGGAGTCCGCCTGACCCCCTCGCTGATCCGCGCGGAGACGGGCGATGCACACCACTCAGGACACTGCGAAGACTTGGCGGATTTCATGGTGAAGTGCGTGGGGAACGGCGTCGCTGGGCAGATTGGGCCGGAACCACCCACTTCAGTAGACCCTTGATGAAGAACACTTCCCATTGGCTGGTCAAATCTCTCCATATGATGAAGAGATTTGACCCTCTAAATACCCAGGTATAATATGGGAGGGTTGTAGGCATCTAAATGAGAGGGCTTGCCACCGCCGCACTCACTGCATCTCACTGCACGTTCTCTCTCTTACGTCGCACCCCAGACGTCGACCGGGCACGGGGGTGCTGAAGCGAAACGAACCGGGCCATTGTTAAAAGGTGTTTTTTTCGGGGCCGGGCCATTGCTCAGCTAGCTCAGCTATAGGTTCATGTTTGGCTTGCCCATGCCACTATAGCTATAGAAAGAAGATGAAAGAAGAGATGACACTTAGTTGAGACGCCGACGCACTTTGGAACTGAGTTGAACTCGAGGGACTATGAACGTGACAGGAGCTGCGCATGGAATCCAAAAGTGCAGAGATCCTTATCATGCATGCATATATACGAATGACTTGAGGGGGTCGGCTGACTGGCATCTCTGATTTTTGGGCACCATGTCACCGAGAATTTAATATTCAAAGGCGGACCAACCCGGAGGGCACGAAGATGTACGAATGGATGAACATGATGAACCAAAGACTCCGGACCATTTGCTGAGAACATCTGAGAACCATGCGATGCGAAACATGTGGAACTCCAACTCGAAGTGCAACACCGACTGCGACTCGGTGCGCTTATCGCCGGTATAGGTCTGTTTGGTGCCGAGTTCATCGTGTGCCTGAGGCCGTGAACGGGCAAGTCTACAACGTGTCCAGTCAGGACATGGGTCACGGGACATGGGTCATGGGAAAGTGAATGGTTGCCATATATTCCACATACAGAGGCTGAGGCCTCACAAGAATCCTTGCTCCAAAGATTTCCAAAGTTTACTTTTATGTGCAGGAGTGGGATGGAGTCGCAACTTCCCCCTTATCCCCCTTATTGGTCCAGCGCTCCGCTACCATACTTCGCAGTGTTGGCTGCTGGAAGAGCTTCACCATTCCTTCACCCTTCCGCGTCGCGTCGGAGGAGTATGTGACCTTCGATGGCATGGCCAAGGTGTGCGCGGAGGCTGCTGGAATCACGGACCCAAAGATCGTGCACTACGACCCGAAGAGCATTGAGGCATGGGGGGTTTTCTTCGGCATGGCGAGGTCGGCATGGGGGGGAGTCGTGTTTGCGAACATGGCGTCACCAAACTTGAGTGAGCTACGACCACCCAAAAACTACTGAAACATACTGTAAATGGATGTAAGTGGATGGTTAAACATGTTTTACATATTGTTCACATTTATATGCCATGGTGTAGTTTAATGAGGAGCACATCCATCCAGCTGTTGAATCAAAGTTGTTTCAAGGTTTTGGCCGTAGTTCAACTGAGTTACTAGGGGTCTATCAAGCCAGCCCGGCGCCACACTTTTGGCACTACTTCGAGCTTTCGCCCTTAAAGGGCTCTTCGGGAAGGAACTAGATAAACACACTGATCAACTACACTGATCAACTCTCAATTGGTCCTCTACATACACCACCTGAGAGTGTCTAGGCTTGGTCAGACCTTCGATCCAAGACACATGGACACCAACTCGCTCTCGGGTCCGGGAGCGGGTCGCGGACGGCTTTCGGCTTGAGCTCGCGGACCGCTGCGAGTCGAGCTCCGTCTTCCGTGTTTTTTCACGTCTCAGACATCGACATCTGCCAGATTTGACCAAAGCGTTCCACCTTGGTCGTCCCCCACCTGGTCTACCTTGGTCAGATTCCTGGCTGGTTCGGGTCAGGATTCCACCTTGGTCGTCCCCCAGTTTGGCCCTTCAGGACGCCCGGTTTAACACAGCTCTTCAAAACGGGAGAGGTTTTGACCCGTTCCCAGTGCTCGGGCCGACCGGTGGTTCCATATAGCAGTTGCTTCGGGTCCGCTTTTGGGACTGATCAGTTCATTTGTTCGAGACCTGGACCAGGTGCCGGAAGGCTATCCGAAGGCCTTCCCCTTCCGCGGCATGCACTTCTTCGCCTCGATCGAAAAGGCGCCCGCGGAGACGCGCCGACGCGGCGTTACCCGTGAGTGTGGGTTGTTGTGCTCAAAGCGCCAGGGGGAGGTGATGCGGTGGTCGGTTGGTTTGGAGTTTGACTTGGCTTTGGGGAAGGAACAAGGGCAACACTTGAAGTGGAAGGTGTTCCAACACCAGAATAATGCCGGTTGTGATACATGATTCCAATTTAGAGACGACTTCTGGCTTTCCATGTCCTCAAGGGCCGGACCCTTGATCCCCAATCATTTTCAAGTCATGGCAAAGGGTTTGAAAAGGTCCTGCTTGCAGGCAAAGCGCCACATTCCAAGCTGGAAGCCGAAGTATAATATGAGCCTGAGCTGCAGAAGCAAAGTTCAAGTTCAGGGGGATTGCGTTCAAACAGCTATCCAATATGCAATGGTACTATAACTTGAATTAACTTTATACCCTTGATACTTATCCATTGATTGCCTAGGGGTTTAGAACATGCTCCTGTGAAAATAATTCCCGCCATGCCATTGCGAAAAGGTTTTAAGGGGTCTTCCTGCGACTTGTTGGGGTCATTTGAACCATATTGAACACATTGAAAATTACTTTGCATCCTTTCAGCAAGTGTGAGCACCTCGGGTCGTTCCTCATCACTGAGAGGGGCGTCGAGTTGAGCACTCACTGAGCCGGTGTGACGGGCGAAACACCCGGATTTGTGCCCCCTTTCTGGGACGCGAGCGTCATGGACTCTTAGAATCGATTCGTAAAGAAAGAAACACCGGCCGGCATAGACCCTAGCAATTAACTCTAAACACAAAAGCACCTGGGACAAAAGCGCCGGCACCTAGTCAGTGGGAAGTAAGTAGCCCTATAGCTATCGCTATTTGGGGATCAAGATGTTTCTTCGGTTCCTGGAGGACACCCGCCCAGTGGGTTTTCAGGATTCATGTTGCGTTCTGATTTGGGGCTTTTCGCTTGTTCCAAGACCCAGCGATTTGGAGCTTTGGGGGGGCCGATTTGGGACCTCGGCAGATAGTCCACTAGTCTAGATCAGATCACCTTTCAAAAACTGTCGGGTTCTCAGATAGGATATGATAGGATATATTTGGGGCACTATTGATGTTTTTGTCCTTCCTTTGCATACCACTTGGAACTTCAAAACAGTCTTAACCTGAAAAAAACACACACACACACACACACATTCTGAGCCCTTGGGTTGATCTCCGAAAACGAGCCACCGGGCCCTTGTATCATACGACACGAAGCACGAGAAGTCAGATGCGATTCTTTGGGCCTCAAAGGCCTGACTTCCCTGCGATTCGGACCACATGGAACCCCAGTTCACCACGGTCGGGTTGGTATTCGGAAAATGGTCTTCCACCACCGGTCAATTCTCAGGTTCTATGTGAGTTTGCGGGGGAGTAATGATGATTAATGTTTCAAGCATCTCCCAGCCTGTCTGGGAAGTTGAGGCTGAATGGCCTCCGAAGCTCATATGCCTCTCGACTGAGATCGATTAGTTTTTGTTTTTCTTCAGGACCTGGGCAATCATGAATGTGCAGAGTTAACTTCACACCTGAAGTGACCTCCCCTGGCATGGAGCTATCCCACCCCCCATGCCAGTTCCAGTTCCACCAGGGAACCACCCGGTTAGAGCCGTTATAGCAATGTTATAGCTAGTCGGTCGTATTGCTCCGAATTTCCATGATTTGGACCAAGCTCTTTCGAGGAGCAAGATTACTTGGCGCGGGGGTTCCACAAGAAGGACCCTGACTTCCGCACAGATGACCTGATCCTGCAGAAGGCATGTGGCTGGAAATTGGTTTGTGCTCCTATCGCGTGACCACCAAAAGATAGCGTCTTTGCCTTGTAATGGGTATGTCACAGATGCAGCAACCGATTCGATCAAGATGCTGAAATGAAAAGGGCTTTGTGTGTACCGACCATGGGCAGCTACCCAGTGCACAGTTACTTGGTTGTGCCGGACAAGTATGATCGGTGACATTTTCCTACACGGATTGTGTACTCATCCACCTGATGTAGGGTTGCGTCTCTATATGCATAATAGGCCAAGGGGTGTTGTTTTATTTTCATGCTGAGGGTGAAACATAGGGTCCTTCCTATTCGAGCTTCACACCCAACTGAACATCCAGGTGTAAGAGATGACGGGGCGAGATTCCTTGCAGACCAGTGGGACTACGACTGTTCATGACCAAAGAGCTGTTTGCAGCTGAAATGGGAACGGGGGCACGGTCCCTCTTCCAGCATGTTTCTTGAACAAATATCTTTACATGGATTTGGTTTACACGAGTTTGTCTTAACAGATTTAAAAGCCTCATGGAAAAGCTATGAGAAGCTCTTAAGTGGCTGGAACTTACAAACATCCGTCTATGGAAAAACGGTCTGTCAACACGCCGCTTTGCCAGATGGGCGTGTCTGTGGGATCATCGAAGTCAAGTGCCTCTGGTGCTGTGAGGCATAACTCGGGGTTCAGCGACTCGGATGCAGCAGGAACCGAACATCCCATTTGCATCCTGTGGATCTCCTTAACACTTCCCGCTTGGTTCGTTAGTGGGCCTTCACCGCTTGGTTCGGTTCGTTGTAAGAATGGGTCTTGGGGGGGTTATCATTTTGGATGTGATCGTTCACCTCTGAAAATTGACATGTATGGTCCCCAGCACTGGCCATGGGTCCAAACTCTGTGTGCAGCAGGCACTCCCTCCCAGTGGCTCTTGGACCCCCCAAGGCACCGAAAGCAGCGTGTCACCTCCACTGATCGGTTAACATGGTTCCGAACGGGAAACTAATCAAAGCAGCACTCGCATGACGGCCTTTGAGCCTTCAACTTTGATGAATTTGGATGAGTTTGGGCCACAGCCCCACCCAGATTTGCACCAGTCATCCTTGCCCCTAGCGCTCCAGTCGTACCTTGTTTTCTGAGGTTCTGGGAGGATCCAACCAGTACCTTTCGAGGTAGCCCTAGGGCCCTAGGGTACTCAGAATCTATTCCGTGTGTTTTCACGAATGGAGCTACGTTGGGTGTTCAATCAGAAGCATACGAGCCGCGTGAAAAATCATGGAAAAATCAACCGTCCATCATCTTGAACATTCCGGATCAGGCTGAATTGTGCCCTCATCAGGCCCAATCCTCCGCTACCCGACAAGCACAATGACAGGAGCTAATTGCAGTGGACACTTGACTTGAACATCTCTCACATAGAAAAGAACATGAAGGTCATAGGCCTCAGCTCACAACAACGGAACGTTTCTGCATCTCAGTGACTGGAATGGTTACCTCTTGACATTTTGGGTGTTGCCATGTGCAGGTGACATGCCTTAGGACCGGGTACTGTAGGACTCCCATTGGCATCCTACCAGGAAGAGCAAGCCAGAAACAACCCACAACATGTTCATGCGCAGCACTATATGAAAAATATTGTTTACATCATTACACAGCATGTTATATAGGACATGTCACATGTATTTACATGTCATTGTTGAAAGACAAAACCATGCTATTAACACACAGATGCACACACAAAAATACCAATTCACATATCGAAGTTGTTTTTTGTGCCTTTTTGTTCTCGACCAGTCCGATGGTTAGGCTATTCCTACAATCGAGATGCCTTTGCAGATTTGGAGTTTGGGATCCTTGGCCAATCCGTCGTATCGGTCGGTTGGGTCGTCGTCTCCCAACGGATGGGAGTCAGTGGGATTCCGTACGGACCTTGCGCAAGCATGCGAGAAAGCGCAAGGCCATGGGTGAGAACTTGGAGAGTCCTGTTGAAGGAAGACATGATGTACTACCAAGAGCCCGAAGCAGATCAAAGCAGTGTAAGTTTTGGAGAGGATTGGGATACGTTTCATGATATGTCATGTTTAAACTAAATGCTGGTTTGGTTCATCACCAAATCATGCGCCCCGCGCCTAAAGTGTCCCGAATCATGTGTCAACCTCGCCCACATTGGTGCCGAAAAGCGGCCACACCCATCCCAACACGCATGTCTCGAAACGCCCCACATCACCCGTCCGACTCCAGCCCCACCAGGAATGACGTGGGCTACCTGCCCGACGGAACTCCGATGCACTCGGCGGGCAACGCCATGAACCACCCCGAGACCATTGGACCCGATCCGCATAGCCCGGGGGCACCGCTGCCCAGAGCGAACTTTGTGAATGACGTCGCTGGGCCGGGAGTGGGGGGAGGTGGTTCGTGGGAGCTGAGTCGTTGTTCTTTTTCTGAAAGTGGTGAGAAAGGGGGGATGAAGTGGTTTTCTTGGAGGTGTGGTAGTTTCTTGGAGGTTGAAGTGGTCTGAATCCACCTTCTTTCAAACAACCATGGACCATGGACCATGAGCATTGGATGAGAGGCACTAATGTTTGCACCCATTCACTGCCGAGTTGCTTCGATTGGGATCCAGTCAGTTCTGTTGAGTCATCACCCTGCTTGCAAGAAGGGCAAGGGAACAGCAGGAGCACACACACAAATGGAACGCGACCCTTAAGCCCTTGATGTCCGGCAACTTGAGCAAACTGAGAAAAAAAACCATCTTCATTTATGCCCAGGAGGCCAGGAGGGCCAAAAAAAGCCGTCCCTCTCGTCTTGGTGTTTGGTGCATGATTCTCGATGTGCACCCAGCCATCTCTTCCGGTCGCAGCTTGGAGTTCCGGCCATGCTCCCCCCGGACAGCGGTGTGCGCTCCTCGAAGCGCTCCGTTCGTTCGCGGGAGCCACACGGAGCCACGATACGCCCCGGGGGGGTTGGAGACCCACATGGAACCTGCAAACCACATGGACCATGGGGACCAGGTCGGTGGTCGAGTGTTTTCCGACACCCCCAACCACACGTGGTTTCCAGGTTCCAGGGCTGGGTCTCTGGAAGAGGGCGTAGTAGGAGAAGTACTCTCCCAGATTGAGATGGGCAGTGAAAACAACAGGGTGGTAGATAAGAAAGGATAAGAATAGTCTTTCAAGTTCACCGCCCATGTTCCTGTGCAGGGGGTAAAACCTTGAATACAATATCCTCTTAGGTTTACGCCCTTGACATCCCAACCATCAAATTGATTGCGGATGGCCATAAAACCACTCGCTCAAAGTGATTGTGTGTGTGTCACCCCCTGTACCAAAGGGTCCAATGCCACCGTTTCCATTACCACCACTTAACAAGGCAGGGGGCCATCCCCCTCCCCAGTGGCGGATGGCCAACGAAGAGGCCACTGGGGGGGGCTGCAAACGTACCTGCCGAACTGTTGTACATGCTGTCGCTCCACTCTTTCTTTGTTTGTTTCCATGGTGGTTCATGCTACTTCCCCTAAACCCTTTCCCTCGCCGCTCGCGCGCGTCGTCGTCGCACCACTGCAGATGAGAAACCTCAATGTTAAAACACCTTCAAGTCTTTGGACCTGTCACCATGCTGTTCCATCGCCTTCCTTCTCAACGTGGGAACTGAGTGTAACTGAAAACCAGTGTCAGAGTGTGTTTCGCTCAGCCGTCCCACTCGGGTGCTGAGTGTGATTCCCGTCACTGGGGCGCTGAATCATGCCGGAAATCGTGTAACTGAGCTTTTCCATTTCTCACAGGAACTCACCACTTAATCAACCTTAACTGAATTTACTGCTTCCAAGGCCACCGGGCCAAAAAACGGGATTCTCTCAGTCTGCCACATGCCGCTAAGTATTCACCAGTCCATGTCACTCTGCTAAGTATTCACAGCGCCGAAGAACGTTGTGCAAACTAGCAATCGTTGGCCACAGTACACCTGCTTTCCTCAGTTGGAATGGTCCAGATATGCTCGGCTTGTCAGCTGATCTTAGCGCCCAGCACGCTGGAATCAAGGTGGGCTACTTGCCAGATGGGACGCCCCTCAACAAGGTGGGCCAAAAACATGTTCGCTCCTGGCGGTTGAACGTGGCGAAGGTGGAAGACAATAGCCTGCCCAGAGACCTAACATGGGGTGAGTCGATCGGTGGGCCGTATGTGTCTTTGCTCGTAGCTGTATGCACTGGATGAGACTGAATGAGTTGCTCAAAGGATCTCAACATAAAGTTTACGCTCCTGTGGAGATTGACTCTTTATATAGATACCTGTGATTGCGGGCTTGCAAGTGCTCGGTCATCAAGATGGAAGTTGTCGTGCCCCATAGTGTCCCCAGGTGCCCCTGAATGTTCCGGGTGGGCACAAGGAATGTACTCCCCTAGCCTTCCAAGACCATTAAAAGAACGGTTGAGCTGGTGGTGTAGTGTAAAAATCCTTAGTAAAACAATGGTTCTTTGGTAAAGACCATTAAAACAATGGTTGTTTGAATCCTAGGGATTAAGATTGAGAAATCTTTGCAACGAGGTTGAGCCTGTGGACATGGGTGCGCCTCAAACCCGAACACAGACACAAGCCAGGCCGGCCTGGTAGGTTAGGCTTGTCATGACAAATGATGTTTATGGAAGAAGCATTTCATATTGAGATATATTGAGACAGACTCCCATCGGAAGACCACTGCTCAATAGGGTTCCCGAAGGGTGCCCAGATCCCGAAATTTGCAGAGTAGTCACCAATGGCCCAATGCCTCCCCCTCTCTCTCCATCGCTGGGGGTAGAGAGAAAGAGAGAGTCTGCTGGTGACCCCGGTGCATTCTCCTGGCCAGTATGGTGTCACCGGTTGTTGATTAGAACCCCTCTCACCATACCATGAGGCGACCCCAGGCAATACCACGCACTCCTCCAGTTCCTCCAGCTGCTTCCGCCTCAGGCGGGCAACGCGATCAACCATCCCGAGAACATCCCGCCCGACCCACATGCGCCGGGAAGTGCGCTACCGGAGTCGGCGTACGCAGCAGAGGCCTCGGGCTCGGTGGGATCCGAGGAACCGGAGTCGGGACTCGGACGCCGTGAAGGGTCCGTGTAGCGTAAGAAGACGTTCGAACTGTATGAAGACTCAACTGATGGAAGACTGTGGATGGATGGCACTCATATCATCTTAAGGGGAAAGACTTTAATTGGTGGGTCAACAATTTGGTATAATTTGAAAATCTAAGGAATCTAAGGTAACTTCGATATATACTTTGATGTGAAGTCAATGGGTCATGGCACCAGACCGACCGGTTGACCTACCTGGGAGGCTTTTCGCTACGCTACATGGTGGACTGGTCGGGCTCCAGGTGTTAACCAGGTGACTTCCAGCTGACCAAAGGCCTCGATTTGCTGAGATGTCAAATAAAACCAGCTTCTTCACAGCCATGCCTTCGAATTTGGAGCGGTTTCGATGATGTTGGCATCGTTGGCAACATGTTTGACCGTGCTTGTACACGCAAAGATTGTACAGGTCCAGTCAACTAGCTGGTGCTCAGGAGGGAGCCATCTGGAGCTAGTTTCGGAGCAGGGAGTATCCATACATCCCCATTCAACAGGGGCATCCTCCGGAGCGACCATGGTAGTTCCCCACCCTCCGGAGCGACCATGGTAGCTCCCCAACCCCTTGCTAGTCCAGGTATGTTGGACACCCCTTGCTTCTCCGGTCAGGGGTCGGCCGACTTGGGTACTCCTTTGATTAGGATCTTCGATGTGCTCCACCGGTGGAGAGGCTTCAGTGGAAATGCTGGGGGATCGCAAAGGTCACCGTTTGTGCTAATGAGGGCGTTTTTGATGCCGGTTGTGGACCGTGACACCAAATAGGCGGCAGTTTGTTCACCAATGACCAAGTTCCCATGCAAATGAAGTCCGCATGGTTCTATATATGATATTCTATACTTTCCAGGGGGGTCAAGCTCAACTTACTGCATGCCAACTCTTGGCTCCCAGCTGCAGGTGGGCTACTTCGTAGATGGCACCCCAATCGACAACGCGGGGAACAACGCTGTCCGATAGTGGCCCATCGGACATATCGCTTTACTTATTTATGTGCACGGAGGCGGGAGGGGCTGGTGTTCATCTACAGCTTCGGGGGGAGGAAAGAAGCCCCGCGCAAGCTCGCCTGGTGTAGACAGCCCATATATATATATATTTATACATATCTACTGCATTGAACGGTGAGTGTCAATATCTTTCAAGAAAATTCCCCCGGACGTTCACTTACTGTACTGTTCGGGGGAGAGGCAGAGGCGGCTGAGTTCGTTTAGAGACAAAAATGGTCTTCAATAGATTTGCATAGTAAACCTGCTGGTCTTGGAAGGCTACGGGTCAAGATTTGTTTTTTCCACCCCGTCTTCTTGGGGATAGGCACGATGACACATCGACACATTGGCCTGTCTCCATTTAACAAGACTCAGCAACACCACGGGAACCGGGAACAGGGCTGATGGATATGGATGAAGAGCATGGTAGGGGATAGGGTCGATAGGCGGAAGCATGTACATGTCTTTCCCCTTTAAATGCGGTATCCTTGAGATGTCCATACACTCATACACTTCCAGTCTCAGCCTCCCAGAATCGTAAATAAAGCAATGCACCGGAAATGGTCGTTAAGAACGTTTGGCTGTCACTGTGGTTGGTTTGCCATTGTTTCAGTGCAATATCTCCACCCAGGGGGTGGTGAGTGGCCAATACAGGTTACTAACAAAGGTTACCCATGCAGCATGAAAGAGATAAGAAATCAGGGCCCAGGCTAGTGAGGGCTGTCGACCGTGTCATATGTGCCTTTGACGTCTTGATGAACACGCAAAAAGAGCGCCAGGCCAAGACAAGCTCGGCATCTGACTCTGCACAAACTACTTGTCCAGATCAAGTTTTTCCGATTTTCCGCCAGCCAAGAAGTGGCCCAAAGACTGGATTGCTTCGAAAAAAAGGAACTTGCAGCACAGGTCAGGGGCCCTCGGAGTAGCGACCGAACTGACGAAAAGGAGACGCTTTGGAGTTGCCAGATCTGCAGCTTCCGAGGTCAAGGTTTCTGCAATTGGTTCACCATGTTGCCCAGTTTGAAACCTTGCAAAACATAGAAAGTTCTTTATAAGATGTTATAAGCTCTTGATGGGGGATTTGTGTCCTCTTTAGGCCCCAGCAACGCCCCCACCGCACCGGAAACAGTGATTTCATGTGATTTCCAGATGACGTTGGTTGTTTTGTGTGATTGTTTTCCGTTTCCCGCGAACTCGCGGAACAGCTGCTTGCTCAACCCAAGTGGTTTCTGGGGCTTCCATCGTTTCGGAGGAGTTGTCCCATCGATTGGAATGGCTCACCACCGCCCGCCACACGGCGTCGCAATCGTCGTCACAGACTTCACAGAATCGGTGTTAGCAGACGTGGAGTCGTGGAGTGCCCGTGCGTGCCTTGGAGTCCTATTGTTCCGACCCAGGTGAGCAGATCCAACCAAACGAAGTGCCTGGACATCTAGTGCATATCAATACAACCATGTGAGCCACTATGTCACTCCATGTGTTACTCCTAGTCCCTATAGCTGGAGCAGTTTCAGAGCGTTCTCGAAAGCCACGGTGCGACGGTGCCACTTGCGTAGCTCCATGTAGCTCGCCCAACTGTCTCATGTCGGCCCTGCCCTGATGGCATGTCGCTGCCGACGGCGTCGGCCGTGTGGATCTCAGAGCCCCCCCGCGATGTGGATGGAATCGGTCTCCTCTCAGCCTCGGAGCCAGGGGAAAAAACTGACGGGACACCCCATCGTTAGGGATTTGGCCCGTGACAAGCAAGATCAAGCAAGCATAGGTACAGGTACCCCGGAGTGAAGAGGATTCCGATTTTTTTCACGTTGCATGAAATTAAAGGGCCATGATGTTTGGGACTTGAGCAAAGAATATGTAGCGATTGTTGGTCAATCTTGGGGTGAATATATGGATGAATAACATGATGCTTTTCAGATTTCGCCCAGGACCTCATGGTTTGCTCAGTTTGACTGTCCTACGGGCACTCAATTCCCTATATACATATAAATATATAACTATAAGGAACAATGGCAATGGGGCGGCTGCCTGGCTGTGGGGAAAGACCGATTGGTAGATTGTTGAGCATTAAATGGACCAGCTTCCGAACTGATTCAGCAATTCCATAAGAATAGTAGGAATGCCAATGACTCATGACTCATCAGGGTGGACACACATTTTGAAAACACGTCCATCACTCAACCAGCCTCCCGCGTTTGGAGTTGTTTGGATGTTTGTTGGGTGCAATTATTTTGAAAACAACCGACGTGTTGGTGGATGATTTGTTGCGAATGTTCAGTCCAGCAACCCAAATTGAATGGAGAAGAGCTGTTGACAGTTCAGAAGCATGCAGGATGGAACAAAGTTTAATTGAGCATCTTTTTTAGCCACCGCCGCAAACGGGAGAATGCATCTCTCGCATCCATCTCTCTCTCTCTCTCTCTCTTTGTGTTTTTTTGCCCCTGTCTGTCGAGCTGACCGCTCCGTGCATAGATCGCTTTTTTCGCACGTAAAGGTCATATTCCTGGGCAAGTGTCTGGCACACACACACATGGTGTACACACATGGTGTGCCCCCAATGGTTTTGGAGGCACATCTATGGCCAACATGACCCGGCCTCATACACAGCCTGCCACGTTAAGGGTATTTTGGCCAGGGTTCCAAAAAACCATTGCATCGTGAGGTCTGGCTATCGCGGCGGTGTGGCGCAAGGCCATGGCTTGGGAAGGGCCAGTGATGCGCAAGAGGGGGCCCATGTTTCGCATTTTCTTGTCCAGCCCGGGGATGGTTCAACCTAAGATGCCCATTCCATGTGCACTTCAGGAATGCCTATTCCATGGCATCCACGGCATCAGACAGATACCACCATGCCGCATGCCCGAAGAGCACCGTAGCCTATTCACATGCACCGTTCGCCCAGGCCAGCGGGACGGCTATGGCGAACTCCGTTTGACGAACGGCACGGCCGGGCGGCCCGATTCCGGAACGAAGGAACGAAGGAGAGTCTGACTGACCCAGACACGACCTGTCTGGGACAGTCCGGACTGCCGCATGGGGGGTCGGTCGACCCCCCAAACCACCACTCCTGGCCGTTTCTCGGCAGTCCGGACTGGCAGTCCCATGTTCGTCGGTTCTGGGTGAAGAACATGAGATCCTTCGATCCCAGACACGACAGGACTGGCGACCGCCCCATTGCATAGGAACCTCGAAGACCACATGGAACCTCCAAAAGTCAACACACTTGGGCCAGTCAACACACTTGGGCCTCAATTACCCACTTGGGCCAACACACTTGGGCCAGAAGATCGTCTTCCAGTTTGGTTCCAGGTTCGTTCTATCCCCATGAGGTCTGGTCCAGGTGTTTCCCAGACACGACCTGTTTGGAACTGGCATAGGACTGCCGCCCCATTGACCCGAATGTATGAATTCACATGCCAGTCCCAGACAGGTCGTGTTTGGGCATGGATGACAGTGTCCAGAGGCTACCGGACTGGTTTTAGTGTTCAATTTGTTGGCGAGTTTGCGCAGGGCCTGACGGCCTGACGTGTTGACGGTGCAGCACGTGGTTCAACAGTCATTCTAGGTCCGCTCGCTGATTTCCAGGGTGGAATGGCGATTTGAAGGCCTCAAAAAGGTATCAAAATACAGTCCAGTTTGGTTCAATGCTGGTTTTGATACCTATTGTTTAATGGTTAACGGCATAGAACTCTGTTGGGCAATTTTGTTGAACATGTTCAGGTATCAAACGTCATGCAGCTTGTTGGAAGTGGGTATTTGTCAGTCACGATTTTGGAAGCTTGGTGAACAAGTGTTGACTGTACACGTGCAGTTTGTTTTGCCAGCTTCAAGGTCCTAGGTCATTTCTGGGAGTTTGCAGATGTATCACTGTTTTACCTTGGTATGGGGAGGTTTGGTATATGACATTCAGGTCCCTACCAGGTCCCTCATGGCTCCTGCTCCAGGTTTACATGGGGCAATGGGAGCTGGGGGCACGGCACTCAGACTGACAGGAACTGGCAGAAACCCTCGGCAGGTGAGAGACTGATCAGACTCAGACCTTGAGGGGGCAACTTCAAGAAGGAATGTGCCACATATATATATATATATATACTAGCCGCAGATGACATCATGAATTGTGCAGCGACCTCCAAAACACCACGTTTCCTATCACAAACACACGACCAGCAACACGATCACAAACGCCATCACGTGCAAGAATGTTAGCCACATCTGACCAGCAGCTGTTCTAAACAGGCTTGGGACACAGGCAACATCACACATCACACAGGCAGCAATCACAAACACACACCCACAAACACAACCCCAAACACATCCACAAACACGCAACCACAAACCAACCACAAACACGACCACACACACATCCGCAAACACACATCCACAACCACAAACACACTGACAGCCACAAACACATCCACAAACACACAACCACAACCACAGCACACAACCGGAGAAGTCGAGACCCACAAACACCACGACCATGGCAACATGCTCCTCACCATGGCATGAAGACACATGATTGAAATCTGGTGGGGATCACTCGGAGTATCTTTGCTTCTGGGACAGGAATCGCGCAACCTCCGAGAAGGGGTGGACCACCCTCCAGCGCTTGGTTAAGCGGCGGGGACGGGCAAACCGAGCCTCGCCCAGACCGAGTTCTGGGAAGCTTTTGCCCTGCAGAGTGGGCTGACTGGCGGGCCAGTGCGGCCACGCGCCTCAAGCGGTCCAGGGCAACACGGCCATGGAGCCTGAGGCTTTGATAGTTCAACAGCGCAAATGGTTTTGCCACATCAAGCTGTTCACGCGCTTTTGAACAGGAGCGCGACAAAAGGCGCACCGACATCGACAACACCTCCAGTTCGCCGCCGGAGACCCAACGTTCAGTCTCCCCTGCGAAGCTTGAGCAAGAGGTGGAGGCCATTCTGTGGGCCTTGCAACAAGGCGAGGGCAAAGATGGGGCGCAGTCAGGAAACAACGTCAATAACGAAAGCAACATCTATATCAAGAAAACTTTTCGATGAGGGCAACGCGCCCTGATTTGATGTGAACAGGTTTTGCTCGTCTCCAAAACGTAGCAACAAAGCAATTCCAAAAGCGAAAAAATCGAAAGCTAATTCCAGGACCAAGGATGCCAAATTCTGAGAACTTTCGGGGCTGAACACCATCTGGGTCAATCCGTAGATCTTCCCTTGACGAACCAATCCACTGACATTTGACTTGATGAGTGCCATGGTTTGCCCCATTGTACTTGGCGCAGAGGTGCGTTGTGGCCATGGCGAGTGGTCGGGACACCCAAGAAAAACTCCACGCCGCGGTTGGAACGGAGGTCATTTGAGTGGGGTGTTGCGGAGATGTAACATGAGCATTGCTGACCTTCCTTTTAAGTTGACGCGCAGTGCCTGTGGCAAACATAACCCTGCCAGTGGCCCTTAGGACCGGGCCGACATGTGTTAACTTTTCCATCGCTGGCAATGGGGCATCATGTGGGGTGGGCACATAGTTCTGGCTGCTCCCTTTGCATCCTGTTTTCGGAAACATCCGACTAACGCTCGCCAATCTCACGGGACTGCTGTTCTTAAGGGTGCCCCCCTTGTTGTATCATGTGGCATGAAGTTCTTGTAGCTGTAGCTCTCGGGCCTTAACAACGGCAGCCCTCCTTGCCCAGCCTCTCACCCGCTCCAGGCATCACCCGACCAAAGGCCACTACGTGGGAGAGTGGAAAAACAATCAGATGCACGGTCTGGGACGCCGAGCCGAGCCGGTGACGGACCGTGGGGAACGGGACCGGTGACGTGGCCCGGGTCAGACCGCCCGAACTGCCTCGTCCGGTCCGGGAGGCATCGAATCACTCATAGCCAAGCCGCTTATGATCTACAGTAATGAGTTAAGCTGTAGCGCACATCGACTCGCTGGCTGGTTAAAATGCAAGGCGGAACCCTTTGGTCCCAATGACACTCCGACCACATCACATGTTTCCATGTTTTTGGCCGGAATTAGCCATCCACTTCCATGCACAAACCGTAAGATGTCCTTTAGATAGGGGGTCCACCTTTTGGTGACTGTGATGTGTTCGTCAGAGTGTTGTACGCCATATATTTTGTTTGAGGTACTACAGTTCACTAGTCACTGGCCCTGTGCGACCAACTGAGGAACTGGTGCCAGGTTCTTGCGAAGTCAGTCACGCCAGTCGCTTCACTAATTACTAAACATGGCGTGGGGTTGTTTGGCCCCATCAGAACCCCTGGCTCAAATCCAAGTCGGCCACACTTTTGGCAAACCCACAGCAATAGATGTTCACTAGACTAGTTCACCACTACTTGAAACGCTTTGTGGGTTTCGGTGTTGTGGCGGCTGTGGCCCAAGTCTTTTTTTGCAAATTGGACGCCTTAACATGGTCCAATAATGCCTTTGCGGAAGGTCGTTTGCAATGATGTTTCCTTACACTTTAAAAATCAACAAAGGAAAACACATTGTTTAAAAACACAAGAATATCTAATATATATACACAATAATTTATCACATCATGCAAAACAGAATCAGAGGAAGTACTAGTTATTTTTGGTTTGTGTTCGTTGCTGTTTTTTGCATCGTTTGCGCGCTTGACGCGCGTGAACACCGCCTCTCGAGGCCACGGGTGCTTGAAAACGGCACGGCAGCCGAGCGAGAGAGGCTGTGGCGACGCAGTGCAGTGCAGCAGGGCCAAAGACATCCGACCGGGCCACGAGAGAAGTCACCCTAGACTGGTCTCCAAGATTGTAATATAGATCAATACCAGTTCAGGGTTAAATTGAATCATATTGAATCCATCATGAATGTGTTATGTCATTAGTTTTGTTACAGTTAAACTCGACTTTAGTATCTATATATACTTTAATTCACTGCAAATATTGAGCAAATGGACATTCATTTTGGAATGTGTTGGATATCGTTGTTCCCCTTTGTTGGGTTGTCCTCTCTGTGGCAACAGCGGGACATGGAATGAACTTCCAACATGTGATGCCTGGTGAAGTCGGCTTTCTGAAGATTGGATAAGATTGGATGATCTGTTTGTGGCGGTGGTATGTTGGTGAGTTTGACGTATTGGGAACCCAGGTCCACCATCCGATTTGGGTATTCATCAACTGTCAGGCATGGTACTAGCAATTCTCGTCTCAGAACGACATGAATGCGATCCCAACTTTGGCACCTTACCCCGAAAGCAAAAACACTCTAGAAGATGAACATGGAACCTCCAAAATCAACACTGTGCCGTAGAGGAGGAGAGTCTTCCAGTCTGGTTCCATTTCCAGGTCCGTGATAGCAATCGGGACGTCCAGGTGTTTCCCAGACACGACTAATGGGACTGGCATATTGACCGCCCCATTGACCTCAGGTCAACCACCCGAATGTATATAAATATCCAGGCACTCCATGGGACTGCCATATATGCCGATCAGTTGGGGTGGTGGTTTGGGGAGTGTTTCTGGGGCGGCAGTCCGAATGCCAGTCCCATGGGTCGTGCGGTCTGCGAGTCCGTCCACTCCATCCGGCTCGCGCATCCGAGGCCAGTGGTGCCAGCTACGAGGGCCACTGGCGCGAAGGCCGTTTCCACGAGGAGGGCGAACTCCGATGGACGGACGGCACCTTCTACGCCGCTCGAGTCGAGCGGGGTCGAGCGGGGTCGAGCGGGTCGAAGCTGAAGGAACTGGCCGATCTTTTGGGGAATTGGATGAAAAACCTCCACTAAAGAAGGGCGTGGACAAAAGGTGGGCGGAGCTGAGCCGAGGTGAGTGGATCAGCTGATTTCAGCCTTAAGATGGAAGATGTTTTAAACGAATTGGTTCTTTCGATGGACAATTCGACCTCTATTTTCCTGGCGTTTTAATGAGTTCCGGAGTCCGGTCGCTGGAGGAGGTCGGTGACCGAGGATGGCCAAAATGGGACGAAATGAACTCTAGCCATTCGTTCTAGTGATGCAAATGCGCTTGGGTTGGGAATGTGAAATAGCTTTGGAGGCCTCCATTCCCCTTCTGAATTTGAGTTTGGGTGATTTGATGGTTGTCTACTTTAGCTCTCGGCCAGGGGCGCCGAGAGCTTTTGTCCCGGCCAACCCCGTCGCCCTGAGCCAGTGCCAGTCGATTGAGGGGCTTAGCCGGGTAGCCAGCAGCGCTGTGAGCGTGTGTATTTTCCAGTAAAATCAGCTATCTTTAGGTGTCCAGTAGAGAAACTTTGCCACATGAAATGCATACGCTCACTCACAGTGCTGCTGTCTATTCTCTGAGACTTTATTCTATTACAGCGTGTCTTCGATGAATGAATGCTCAACTGTGCTTTACTTTTTTAAACATATTTTTGCTATTTTTGGTAATTCCTCTAGGTCTTTGGTATTTTTGGTATTTCCTCTAGGTCTGTGATATTTTTGGTATTTCCTTTAGGTCTTTGGTATTTACATATTCTCACGTGCATAGGAAATACTTAAAACTTTTAGATAAGTAACAGTGAAAAACACACACGCTCACAGCGCTGGTTTCTGTTTTGTCATTGCCTTTTTTGTGGAGTTTGGCTGCGTGACACCTGCCGCAACGCTTGATTGCTACGGCAACGCTTTTTGAACGAGTGATTAGATGGTAGCCTGCCAGAGCAATCGGCCCTGGAGGTAGTATAGGCATGTGTGAATACATGTAGTCACGGGCATGTTTGACATTCAATGGGCCCGCTTCCTTCATTGAATGGATTGGGAGGCCCGCAAACATGTGGTGTATCCCCAGCCACATGCTGCACGTGCACATGCGCCCTTCCAAACATCCCCAAGGCTGGAAGCTGGCGCAAGGGTCAAGAGCATGGCCTGGGACGCCTGAGTTTCCCAGTTGCTTGGACGGCCGAGACTGCCGAGATCCGGTGTTCCGAAGACGGCCACTCCGTTTGTGGGGCGATCACGGAGGGCAGGGGCAGGAGGATTTACCAACCGTTCTGGAGGCAGGTGGCGCCCTGGGCGTGGAGGCCTCGGGCAACTTTTGATGGTTTTTGGCATGTTTTGTGGGCAGCCTGGCTGAATGCAGTGCCTCCCAACAGGTTTCAGCACTTGTCAGATCTTGGCAGCCTGGGAAGAAAGATGTTTTTGGTTTCGATCAACCGTAGGGTGGAGGTTTTGGGATGAAGACTTGCAGCGAACTGATATTTGAATGTAGAATCTGAACAGTACGTTTGGGGTTCACCGGCCGATGGTGTTGAAGTTGAGGTTTGATGGCTTGTGCTAACATGTCTACCCTTTACCTCCTGCATTACAAAAAACATTCAAACACATTGGGAGTTCCTTTCCGATTCCCTTCGGATCTGTTTGTTCCTTCCTTTGAAAACGATGAAACACCATGCAGAATGAAGACAGCAAACCCCATATCTCCGGCCACACCGCTACCACTGGCCGATCACCCGAGGACGGGAAGATCTACGAGGCGTCCGTTTGGGGCGTTTGGGGCGCCGGGATCCGGTGGCGTGCGCATTCTGCGCCACAGAAGCTTCGCAGAAGTCCCAGTTGAAGATTCACTTGGTGGATTTGTAGAAGTACGGGACTTCAAAGTGGATCCAATTGGATCCCAGTTGGTGGATTGAAGAATGGATTACCTTATATACTTGGATCCACGTGGTGTGGTGCGAAACGCGGCGGATTCGTTCCGCTCGTAGGGGCTAACAGGAGTCCCTACCAACAGGTTTGTTCCCAGTAAAGTGTCCAGCGGACTCTCCAGAGTGATCACCGGTTTGTGAAGAAGAGTGGACATCTCGCACCAGCGGTGACATCCCTAATTATCCCATCATCTTGAGGCCGGCCGTTCGGCCGGCATATCTAGGCTCCTTGAGGGATGGGACAAACCCACAGGGTCGGACGGTGAGAAAGCAGAGAGTGGACTGGGTTGGGCGGAATCACTGCCGCCTCGACTGGCTGAGTCGCTGCAGGCACCCGGGGGCCAGGTAGAATGGGTGCGTGTATCCGAGCCCAAGGCAAGTTGGAGTACAAGCATCCTTCCGAACATGTTGCGGGGGGGCGCCATTGGATGCGGGGGCGCCTTGCCAGCCTCCCAGGGCCTTTGGGTGCGGGGTGAAGTGGAAGGACATGGCACATTGACCTATGCAGCGCTCCGTGGCCTGCTTTTGGGCACCGCGGTCATTGACCTATGCAGCATTGGAGGATCTGACACCATCATTTGGCAACTGCAAGAGTCACCATAGAGTCGTCAAGAGTCATGAGTGCCTACTCCCAGTGGAAAAACATCGAAAAAAAACAAAAAAACATGAAAACAAACACATGATTTTTTGTGAATGATCCAGTTTCACTGAAAACGAACACGCGGAAAACGGTTCATTCGTTTTTTTGCAGAGATACTGAGGGGAGGCGGATTTGCTGACCCAGCCAATCCTGCCGGATGCCAGGATGCCCGCAAGCGCTATGTGGGGCAGCCAGGAGCTTAGCGCAGATGTGGCGGTCGTGAGCCCGGCGGCCGTAGCTGGTTGATTGGTTATCATGCCACACAGGTGAGGTCCCTGTCCCTGGCGCTCCTCATGGAGTGGGAGACATTGAGTATAGATCCAGTTCTATGAGGTCCTTGGCCTTTGGGCATTGGTTGCAGATGTTGCTGGCTAAGCAGCTGCAGCTGCTGGCTCTTGCGGGCTCGCCCCGGACACGGGTGGTTGGTTGGAGAACTCCAGACGTTGACTCACTCAAGGTACGACCGAAGCTTAGCAGGCATTGATGGCCAAGTCTAGGACGCCACCCTCCATGAATCCGTTCCGTTGGGCCCTGCGGCGTAGTTTCAGCAGATTCCCTTATTATGGATTCGACTCTATCATCCAATCCATCCAATCCACCATCCTTTCACTCGAAACATCGTGAAACCAACCGGCTAATTTGTTCTGGGGCGGTGTGCCAACTGGCAGACCTCCTCGATCAACTGCATCGTGGGGCCGAGGTTCCGCAGCGCCAAGCCGCACGGCCACGGCAGAATGGTCTACGCGGACGGCGTGGGGGCTCAACAGAGGAAGAGCTTTTCTCGTTGAGACTTCGAGGACAAGTGATTTGGTTTTTCTAGGTGGGGGAAGCCATGACAAGTCCAGAGACTATAGTACAAAAGTCCATCAACAATCGTGGATGGAGACCAGGTGAAGGCCATTTGTTTTTGGACACATGAGGCTTCTGCATGAGACTTCCTCTGAAATTGTCCGACTTGAGTTCTGGGAACTGCTCAGCGTATGACCGCTAAACGGCGGCGAAGGCAACACCTCGCTTCAGGTTGCATGAACCGCGTCATTCAGTTTGGAATCTGACGAGGTGAATTGTTTGCACATTCAAGATTTGCGCACGGCATCTATATGCAAAAATGAATTTGCTGATTGAATTGGTATGAATCGATATGGGTGCGTCCCATCAATCATTTTCGCGGTACACTTTATTTTTGGCCTGGCTGCATGCTGAGGCTTGTCCTATGAGGGCCAGTGGCAATACGGTTCTTTCACCCAGCCCGGGGTTCATTGGGGGAGCATCTAAGGAGTGGAGCCAATGGAGTCTTGTGGCCAACTTGCTCCCAACTACCACCAAAACCTTTGCGAGTTCCAAGAGAGGTAGCCAGTGACCATAAATAGGACCCGTCACCTGGGGTACCCATGGGATAGTCTAGTTCGGGTCATTCAACCTTTGTTGGTTGGCTTGCCGCACAGCTTGTCGTTACGACATACCGATGGGTCGGCGAGTAGAAGAACGAAGCTTCAGGGTGCGCCGGTGTGGTCGCAGACAAAACGCCTGGTGTGATTTGTACACTGGTGTATATATGATATGATATACATAATTAATCATAATTATAAGGGAGACATATCTACAATATACAGTATATATATATATATTCATAATAATAGAAATATAATGTGTACTTATATTCATTCATAGTTATATGTATATATGCTGTGTGTTTATTGGAGTTGATATTGAATGATATTGCTATATGTTGATATTGTACAAATATTGTATTCTCCAGTCTCCAGTGAGGGGTTCTGTTTTGGAAGCCATACACTGCAGCAGACTTGGTTTTATTAGGAAACTTGCCCTGAAGCAGCACCAATGCTGGTGCACTTGTGGTGCATCGCGGTGCCAAAAACTTCTCCAACACCACAGGCGGGTTGCTGAGTCCACAGCCACACAATACATGGTGACGCACTGGTCATTCTTGGGTTAAACCCTCATGGTGCAGCAAAGGTTTGTATTGGTCAGCCTTGTGATGAACCCATTCAATTGGCCATCGGAAGAGGTCACTGGACATGAAAGGTCAGCAGAAGATGGCCAGTGTAGTGGTCGTTCACTCAACGTAAAACTTCACTGCACTGTAGCTCATGGAGAGTAACATAAACATGCATGAACAATTCATTCAATTCATTCCATCAACTCTTGCCACGAAATTCGCCGCCCAGGGGCCCTGTTGACAGAGTTGAAGTGGGTTCCGATTCAAAGACTCGGTCCACAGTGGCTCACGGCGACGCGCGACGCATCGCAATGCAGGCCTCCCTGCCGGCAAGGGCAAGTGGAACACACCTGAAGGGCAGGCCTGGTGCACCGAGGGTGAAACCATTGGAAGGAGAGAAGCACCGTTGGCGCACCACATGTGGCAGGTCTATGCAGGTCTGGTTGGTTCACAGACTAATTAAGATGGAACCCTGAAAACCTCTCGTGTGTAAAGGAAAGCCGTCTTTTTTCAGGGTGCCATTCTCAGGGTGCAATGTCAGTTTCCGGGAACTGTAGGGAGCTTGCTGACTATGCCTGCTTTTTTTCCCTCTAATGGGCACCACATGAACCTTGGATCAATGACATGTTGTTGCAATTCTAGCCTTGATGAGCTTTGTTGTATGGTCATGGTTTTGGAATGTGTACCCAGCGGTCTGAAGTCCAAGGACTTGCATGGTACCTTTTTGTGCAAAGTGCAGAGGACCATTTAGTTGTCTTGCATGCACTCGCTGGAATCATGGGCCAACGTGAAAAGGCACGGCCCAACATTTGGGATGACCATATATTTCTACTTGTACCTTGTACCTTGGAACTAACAGTGGAAGTGGAAAGCCGCCTCTTTCGGAAAGTCGTCTTCCTTTGGCCACTTCCCACCACTTCCGAGTTCCACGGAGTGTCCCAAACAGGCGGTGCGGAAGACACACCTTTTCACTTACACTTCGCTTCGGCAACGGTCAGACCGGCAACCCCCAGAAGGGCCATCTGGCTCGAAGCACTGCTCTCCACGCTCGACCCGCATCAGGCCCAGGAGCTCACACCGGTGAGTTCCGTGCGCCCCTCGCCGCGGGAGGACTTCATCATCGGCCCGGACACTCGGTGACGCGACCGCGGTGAAGGGTGAAGAAACCCAGTGAAGAGCAGAGGAAACCCAGAAGAAGAGTTCCATCTTTTCCCTCAGAATGGGCGCAGTCTGTTTTGGGCGCAGGGATGCAAAGCATCCATGAATTCCCATGAAGAAAAGACCATGTAGCCCCATTCAGCCGAGCTGGTTCAGGATTCGGGACTGTTCTTCCACAACTCAGGTCCGTGCCGTGTCCACCACCATTAAAGTACAATTATATGTTATCAAAGTGATGGGCGCAACACCCAGACTGCCTGCTTGGGCGGCCTGCCTTTGACCGCATGAAGGACCGCCGTCAAGGAGAAGCCGCAGAAATCGTGAAAAACATGTCCTTTTGGAGGTATGACTCATGGTGACGACAAAGGAATATAACAATCCTGGATGCCTAACCACTTGGTCAACTACTTCCATCACTTCCATCAACCATTTACAGAAGCAGCATAGAACATCATAATCATTTTTTCCATATCAACATCAACTACCTCCACCAAAAAGAACTATTCTATATAGTTGCTCATGTTTTTCTTGTTAAACGCGTGTTTGACTAGGCACTTCAAATGTGGTGACCAGTGACCTCCAACGGTGCATCGGCAACGCGACCAGGCTTCGAAGAGGAGATTGTTGAAAGCAGCGAGGAGGGCGAGCGACCTCGGACGGGGCGAAAGGATAGGCCGCAAGATTTGGAGGAATACATGGTTTCTGTGGTGTGATGAGAGGAATCCAGGAAAGTCAGAGAACAGGTCAGTTACCACTTCAATCATCTTCAAAGAGCTAGGTGATGCTAGGTGTGTATGTTCCTTTGTATGTATATAAATGAGTATACATGCTATCCCTGGCTCCGCCCCTGCAATGAGAGCTGTGTTTATACAGAAAGTGGTTTTGTGAGCTTCTATAGTTTCCCAATTGTTCTTATGATTTTCACGGTAAAGGTGATAAAGGTGAAGGTTCGCAATTTTTCAAAAGACCTGACAAAACCTTTTGTGGGGCCACCCCAGGATGAAACTGCCATTTGTGGGCCACGTGAGGGCAAATGTTAAAGTTTAAAGCAAAGAAACGTCACCCCACCATCCACTTATTCGCCAACCGAGGGTCAAGCAGCAGGAACAAACCATTCCAACCTTACACACACTCATGTGAACCGTCTCACTGACAGCAAGATACAAGAAGAACTGTTCAGATCTTGCGCACTTCTTTACGGACAAACCTTACACACCCTTGAGAATTTGCAGTGTAAATTAGTGATTGCAAGTTCACACACGCACACTTCGACAATTGTATTCAGTTAGCTCAATTTCTCCGATGGGAAAGAAGGTGAAGAACCGCAAGGCGAAAAAGTCCAGTAACTTGAATTGTTGAAAAAATGTTTCACTCGCGCGGCTGGTTGCAGTTCACAAGCGGCTGAGACCTGTTTGTGGGGTGGAATACATGAAGAACCATGAAACAACACGCGGAAGAGTGGGGTAAACAGCTTGTGCAAAAGTTGTGTGGCAGGTACACACCAAAGCGTCCTTTGGTGCTTCCCCTCCAGCGACTTAGCTTCGTTGGGCAAGGTTCGTCGCCGGAGGCCTTGGCCCCCCTGCCTGTGAAAGGTGGTGGTGGAAAACCCTTTGTCCAGGGGTGGACACACACAAGTCGCCGCGTTCGGCGCTTTTTCAAAAACCGGTGGCAGGCGTGATAGTTATGCCCCTTTTGGACATATAGGCTCACGAGTTCAGCCGCAGCAGCTTCAGCGCTGGAAGGTGGGAATGTGTATGTTCGAATGGTGTGGAGTCGTGATTGGAGGCCTGATAGAGCCAAGCGCTGGCTCCCGGCGGTTGTGGAATCCCGGATTTTCCAGGGTTGGGAAGGTTGCATGTAGGTGATGGTGCGTTGTGGGAGGTCGATGTTGAAACCGAGGAGATGAAAATCCTCCACCGGTTCGAGTTCCACTGGGTCGCCAAAGAAATTGTGGTGGATGAGGGTTTGGATGGCCGGGTGTTGAAGGAAATGTTCGTTGTGGACAATGAAGCGGTTGTCAACATAGCGATAGTAAGCAAAGTGGAGGTCAGTGTGTTGAAGGAGGTTGTTGTGGAGCTGATGCCAGGAATGCTCAATGAGGGTGATGGCAACATTGCATAGGGCTGGAGAGAGCTGGGATCCAATCCCGGCCCCTCGGATTTGTTTGTAAGTATTGTTGCAAGCCCGGAAAATGCATGTGTTGAGGGCAAAAGCCACGATGGTGGTAATGTCGGAAGTCTGGATGGTGCGTTGGGTAGGGTGTTTTCGATGGTGTCTGCCAATGTGTGAGTGGTGGAACGGGTTGCCGGTGGCCTGGACATCCACCGTGAGGGTGTGTGTGGATTGTTGTTGTTGCCAGTGGTGGACGAGCGAGTGAACCGCATCGATAAGTCTGTGCTGTGGAACTGAGTTGAAGAAACCGACCAAGTCATCGTTGGTGGCGTGTAGTGAGATGTCGGGTGGGGTTTGGGTGAGGTAGCTGTGAAAATGGTGCCAGAGCTGGGGAATGGACATTTGGCCGGGATGTTGAGGGTAGAGGTGTTGGAGGATGATGTCAAGGGCACGGCTGGTAATGCGAAGCAAGTTGCCACTGAGTGATTGGAAGTATGAGATAATTGTACGGCCTTTTTGCCAGTGCTTCTTCTCCTTGAGGTGGACAACGCCATAGGGGATGTTGAAGTCTTTTCGGAAGCCCCACTTGTAGCGAGTGCGTAAAATGGGGGGGACTGTGGCGGCCAGGTGGTCGTGGATATTGGCGGCATTGATATAAGGAAGTGGTTCAAAAAGTTCAGGGGATTGCCATGTATTCAGGACGCCAGTGAAATATTGGCGAGGGCAAAACAGCCTGAGTTGTTGGAGCTCATGGTCGGCATGGTGAAGTAATGTGTGTTGGCCAAGATGTTCTTGGAGTTGGCGAAGCAGGCGAGCCGTAAAACGGGGTTGCTGCTTAAGGTGTGTGTTGTGGAGGCGCCATTGGTGCTCAAGGAATGGCTGCAAGTGTTGAACGAGGGATGGTGGAAGCCCTTGTAGTTTGAGCCATTTAGTGTAGGCCGTCTTGAAAATGATGAAGTAGCGAGCCTTGCTTGGGTAGTAGGTGCTGTTCATATTGGCGTTGAGAAAAATGCCGAGATGAGTGGGGAGTTGGAGTTGGTCAAGTGTAAGGATGTAGTGGCCGTTGATGGTGGGGGTATCGGGATCCTGCAAGAGGGTGCGAAGATGAGCGCATGCACAGGGGAGGTCTGCTGGATCTGGCGGGGAGTGAAGGGTGTCCTCCCATGTGCGGTGGTTATGCAGGTGGGAACGTAAGGTTTTGTGTGCAGCTTCTCTCAATCTGTGGGAGGGGAGGTGGAGGGGGATGGTGAAGTGCTTGTGTTGCTGAATGGTGGTACGAAGCCATTGCTGGCAGTGCTTGGTGAAATCGTCGTGGGCCAGAAATGGTACTGTCAATGGAATATTTGGTTTTGGCGGTGTGAGGTTGCGGTAGAGGAGGGCTTTGTTGAGGATATGGAGAGCCCTGCTGCGGCCGGGTTCTTCAAGGTTTGCGGCCATACGTCGGATTGCATAGACTTCGAGGTCAGTGTGGCGGCCGCTTCGTAGCTCTTTGGCTGCTTCAAAGGAGGCTGCGGTGTGTTTGGTAAGGTTGCGGAGAAGTTGGAGGGCGTGATGCTTGGTGGAGGTGTAAAGGTGTGGTTCTCTGAGGGTGTACTGGCGTTGCCGAAGGCGTCTAAAGAGTCGTTTGTGGGTTGCTAATCTGGAGTAGAAGTGGGCTCTGTGTTTTGTGAACTGCCAGCCCTGAGCTTTGAGCTTGAGGTGGTGGGAAATGAAAGGCCAGTTGAGCGTAGGCATCCAGTTTGCGATGTAGTGGTGCTCTTGGATCCAGGCTTGGTCATATGTGTCATGGGAGGTAAGTTGAATGGTAGTGTAGTGGTGGATGTTGTTGTGTGAGTGCCAATAACGTAAGGAGAGTTCTGCAGAGATGGGGATGTTGTTCTGGAGTTGTTTGAGTTTGGCACGGCGATTGTGCTCGCGGTGGGGAATGCCAATAGCTGTGGAGCCAACATAGAAGTGGCCATGCTGATGGTAGCAGCGTTGGGGCTGGTCGGAATTGAAGTGGAGCTTGATGTAGACTGAATTCGAGGAGAGGAAGTTGTGGTAGTGGTATGTGTGGGGCAAAATGTGGAGCTGGCGGAGACGGTTGCGCCATTGTTGTGAGCGACGGGTGTTGGAAGGGTATGCGAAAAGGAGTGTGATATGGATAAGGCCGGTTGCAAAGATGGCCTCGGCACGGTCGATGTATTGGGTGCGGTGAATGAGCATAGAGAGTGCTCGGTGCAAGTGGAAAAGTTGGGTGAGGTTGGTGTGGCTGGGTTGCTGCTGGGCAAGGATGGCGAGTCAGCAACCGATGGCTGCTCCAACACCCACCAGCTGTTGTAGGCTACGAATGGGGAGTCGGTTGACCCGGTTGAGGGGTAGGCCATACTTTGTGGCTGCTTCTTTTAGCTGCTGCGTGGTGACTTTGCTTGTTTGCAGCAAGCGAACGACGTCCTTGGCGGCTTCTTGGATGGTGGGGTCGAAGGTAGTGACCCATTGTTGGATCTCTGGGTGGTTCCAGCCTTCGGGGATATCGTCTTGCAAGACGTCGGTGAGGGCTGGTGGTTTTGGTGGTGGTGGAGTGGGTGCATGGGATGGGGCGGCCGGTGCGGAGGATCGGCTGGTGCTCTTGACTGGTGTGAGTGGGTTGCCCAGGTCGTGGAGCTTTTGACGTGCACGAGCCAGTTCATCGTTGGTGTTTTTGAGGGCGCGTAGAGCGGTGCCTTCCGCAGGTGCTGGAGAGTGAGTTTGCAGTTGGTCGATAAGTAGTTTGATGAGGGGAGCGTGAAACGCTCGGGCGTGGGTGGTTTTGTTGGGGATGTCTGTGCTCTGTTGGGTGTGGAGGGTCTCCGCGATGCCGTCAAGGTCAAGGCGCTTTTCACGGAGTTGTTGGAGAAAATGGGTCACGAAAACCGACTCCGCTATGCTTCTGGTGGCAATAAAACCTGTGTATTTGCCGTTGCTCAGTGTGCGGGCGGTGAACTCGGAGGTGCCGTGGTAAGCCAATTGCCACGGGAAAACCTCAAAGGTTGGGAGTCCTGCCACGCCTGCTTTTCGAGACCACTGGGTGGGTTGGATTGTACGATGTAGTTGGTGGCCGTGCAGAGTGTTGGAGTCCCAATGTTGCTCGGTTGGGTTCCAAGAGTCTGGAACAGGTGGAGTGGGGGATGGGATGTGTGGTGGTGGTGGGGCAGGCGCTGTGTTGCCACGTGCGGTGGGTGGTGGCGGTGGGCTGTGTTGGAATGTCGATGGTGGTGGAGTGACAGGTTCGGCCGTAGGCAGGGGTGGCGGTGGCGGAGGTGGAAACTCCGGCTGTGAGGTTGGTGCCTGTGGTGGTGGTGTATGCTGCGATGGCGGTGTGTACGGTGGAGTCACATACGGGTTGGAGTGGTGGACGTGGTGTGTACGGAGTGCGTGGGTGAGTGGGCCATAGGTGCCTGTGGGGCTGTAGGTGTGGTGAGTGGTGGTGGGAGGGGAAGTTGTGGTATCCGGGTTGGTAAGCTGCTGATGATGTTGCTGCATCAAATAGTGATTCCAGTAGTATTGCTGCCACTGCGCGTCCATGGTGGCTGGGCGAAGTATCACTGGATCGTGGGCTAGGAGCACCGATTGTTGATTTGAGCAAGCTGAACATGCGAGATCACGTCTGGGAGTGTCAAAAGAGGGAGTAAGCAGTGCCAGTGGAATCAAGTGGCGTTAACACAGTTATCCTGTCAGAGACCAAGGTGACAAAAGAAGAACAAGAAAAACCGGAAACAGCTGAGAAAACTGGAATACTGCAGAAATCAAGAAACAGTTTTCCGTGTTGATCCAAGTCCTTGGTTAGTGAGTGACTCGCCGCTGAAACGCACTGTTTTTTCGTTGTGCAAAGTGAAACCGAGCGTGTTGGTCTGCGGACTGAGTTGAGCCGATGTCCGAAGATGATGGTGGGCATGTTTGTAGAAGGCGGTGGCAAAACCGTGCATAAACATGAAAACTACGGAAGGTGTATGGGTAGGAATAGTTGTTGTGTGAATCATCCCCGGATAAATCATGATAGGCACCTCAGAAGCTGCGGCTGCTTGATCACTGGTTATCTGCATGCCACGGGTCCGTAGCGGGGTCATAGTTCTGGTGTGACAATGGCAGGGGGCGCCCCTGTGTGTCCACCCTTGTCGTAGAGGGGTGGAGCATGACCACTGGGGGTGGTGGACCCAAGTCGGAGGAACCAGCTTGTGGTGGGATGAAGGGGGTGGGCTGTTGTGTTGGAAGGTGATAATGTGCTGGCCACGGGTGCGTGGGTGAGGGAAAGACTGTCGGTGGTGCCACTGATGGTGTAGGCGTGTGAGATCCGCCTTGGAAGCACGGCCAGCCAGTTGCCGGGGGCACGGGCTGAAGGGGTTCGGTGGTAGCATGATGTTGTGGGGCTTGAGAGAGTGATGGTGGAGGTCGCTTTGGAA